TATCAGGAATTCTCACAAACTACCGACCGTTGTATAACAAGTAAACTGCGTCTTTATCACATACAATCAAGGCGTTATCGTTCGGTATGGCATCTAAACTACACCGATTGGGGTGAACAAAATTGTCCACGAGATGTAAATCATTTTTTGGATTTTCTCGAAGAATTGAATTCAGTGCGTATGGCTTCAATAAATGAAGTCCCGCCCGGGCACAATACAAATCCACCTGTGCTATTGCATTGTCTAGAAGGTGGCGGTAGATCAGGTGTGACATTGACAGCTGACTTGTTGCTTTATACGCTTGACCATAATGAGGTTTGTAGAGAAATTTGTGTGGTTTTTTGGTGTGGTTTTTCTAAGATTTTTTTTGTGATATTTCTCTTTTTGCAGGACTTGGACATACCCCGTGTCATTGGCAATTTGCGACATCAAAGAGATAACATTATACCATCTTTGGCTCAATACAAATTTATTTATAGTCTGCTCATAACATATCTAAAACGAACGAGATTAATTTGAAAAAAAATTTACACGATCATTTTTTATTTGTTTTCATTGTAATTCAAAATTTTCTATTTCGGGGGATCTTAAAATCCTCCTCATATGTATACAACGATTTTCATTTATATCACTACTTAGCTATGGCAATTTAATTGCCTTTTTTGAAATTAGTTTAATTTATTGCCCTGTTAAATAAATTCGAACAAGTTTTTTTATTACCCCCTGCAATGATAGGGTGCTTCCTTTAGTCTTATTGAAATTTATACCCGGCCCTTGTATTTATCTAATCAATGCTGCTCATTTAATCTATTTTCACTCCCCCTCTGCTTTCATGTATATAAACCCTTATTATTCATTTGTATGCGAAATTTTCTAAAATAATTTATACAAAAATCTATTTTCTTTTCTTTTTAATATTTATATTTAGAGCATAGAATGTATGTATTTTTATTAATTATTATAATATACATGTTTTTGTTTTTGAGTAGCAAAGAAGTTTAAGTAAAAAAACGAAACAAGTGTAATAACAACAGCTTCCATATTCATCATTCATTGTTTTTTTTTTTTTTTTTTGAAGTAACTTCATTTTATTCACCATCAAGTTTTCTTGTTGTTAGCTTTAAGTTTAAGAAGACAAAAGAGTTAAGCAATTATTTGTGCCTTGTATTAAATAAAATAAAACAAAAACTTTAAGTTTATATACAAAATAAAATATACAAATACGAAAAAAATATTTGGAAATTATTTTTTGCATACGAAAAATACAAAAGAACCTTCACTCAAAATCTACGGTGGTCAACTTCATGGTGTGGGAAAATGGAAAAGGAAGAAGGGTTTTAATTTATATGAAGAAAAGAAATTAAAGTCTTCAAAGAAAAAACCGAGAGTTCTTATGAAACGAATTTCTAAATGCAACTTCGTGGATTTGGATTTAAATTAGATTAAAGAGAAAAGAAAATTCTAAGGCTTCTTAAACGAACGAACTTCTACTTCGGAGTCTAGTTTTTTGTGTAAATAAGAATTTTTTTCTGAAGAAAAAACTATTCCAAAAAATATGTGTCATAAAATTCTAAAGCCAAAAATTCTTAAATTTAAGAAGTATTAGATAATAGATAGCAGTTGATAACACTTGGCGAAAAAATGTATTTTTTTTTTCAATAATTACTGGAATCCCAGAAAAGATTGGGAAAGTAAAGCTAAGATTAGAAGAATTAAAAGCTACAACTAACCCAAAATAGCAGTTCCCCACTCTTACACATTTTTTGAACTTCTGACTAAAATTTCTTGGATTCCGTTGATTTTATGTTTATCGCGTCTTCGTTAATATTACTGATAACCATATAATAATTATTTCTGTCGAAAATTCCAAGTTAGTCACGAAAGAGGTCGTTTTGCTCCTTTTTTCCAATCATGATAAAAAACTTGTTTAAGCATGATCGTCGAAATTTAATATATTCTATACAATTATTTGTCACAAAATTCCACTACAGATTCCCGAATCAATCAAAAGTCGAAATCGTACATAAACGCCAGGAATTCAAAATCAAGGTTTGTTGGGCTAAAAGTCATTTAAGAAGGTTTTTTTGTTTTTAACAAAAGTTTTATGAGTCGAAAAGTCCTTAAATATTTTTGAGGATCTTCATAGAATCACTTTCTGAGACGATTTATGCATGTCCGTCCGTGCGTCTGTCCATCTATTTTTGTGAAGAAAATGCAGGTAGCATTTATTATCAGATTGAGATGAAATTTTCCAAACAAGGACGAACCCCATTGAAATTGTTGAGAATCGGTTCAAATTTAGATATAGCTCCCATATTATCTTCAACCGATTTCGTGTTAATTGTGCACAAAATGGCCAATATCAGCCCAAATGACCAGAATTTTGGCACATCCGACCGAATTCAGTCTGGAGTCAAATTTGGTGAAAATCTGAAATGGTGAAGTAGCTCCCATATATATGCTTCATCCGAGTAGGTCTTTAAGTCCAAATATGCACTCCACAACAATGATATTTCGTACCAGATAGAGCTCCGAAATACCCTTCCCAAATTTTTTTGAGATCGGCTCAGATTTGGATATAGCTCCCATATATATCATTCATCTGATTTCAGGTTTATTATGAAATTCGGGACGTACGTTTCCATTTGGTGGAACGCGGCTCCGATACATATTTTTTATATCATTTGATGTGGCCAAAACCTGCCTCAAATGACCAAACGCGGATTTTTTAAAGAATTCCCTAGGTCTCTTTGGACCAAATCCGTTGGAGTCGATCTAGCGATGACCGTTCGTCCGATTTGGTCCAAAATTTGTACATCGTAATATTATTATCAAACTTAGATCGAGTTCGGAGATTGGCAAAAAATTGGACGAAATATTCAAAGAAAATATTTTACTGCACAGAGGGAGAAAGGATGATCCGATTTTGCTCTAGCTTTGCAAATTCTAATATTTGCATCAGTGCTAGGTCAGGTGCAAAAACGGATAATATCTGTCCACTCCATCGAGTTCCTCCCCCCCCCACAAAGGGTCAAATTTTTAAATAATTATAACTCTTATAAAATGAGATGTAAGGGTTCGATTGACTTCAAATTACACACATCACAATATTTTTTGTTAACCCAAGGACTGGTGTGAATATGGATTATATCGGTCCACTCCTTCTGGTACCTCCCCCACAAAGTGTCAAAATACTGGATTTCCATGAAGCCCATAAAACGTGAAATTGACATCCGATTCCATTCAGACTTGACACATCACAATATTTCCATCAACACAGGATCTCTTATAAAGATGGTAGAGATCAGATCACACCTCACAATATTGTTATTAACCGAAGGTCTGGAATGAAGATAGAATATATATCGGTCGACTCCTTCTGGTACCTCCCCACAAAGGGTCAAAATTTTGAGTATCTATGAAGGTCATAAATCGCGAAATTAACATCCGATTCTATTCAGGCTTGGTACATCTCAATATTTCCATCAACATAAGGTCTGTTGTAAAAATGGAAGAGATCGGACAATTTCTTCGGGCAACTCTCCCACATAGGGTTTAAGATGTCTGAAAAACAAAACGCTCAAAGAAAGCGAAATAAGCATCTAACTCTCTTCAAATTTCACACTTCCAAATATTTTTGTTATTGCAAGATCTGTTGTGAAGATGCTATACATATGCCAACCCCTTCTAGTACCTCACCCACAAAGGTTCACAATTTCCAATAGCAATTTCCTTATATCTGTCATAAGTGGTGAAACAAGTCGGCGATTCTTTACCACTCCCGGTTGAGCACTCAAATTTATAGTTTAATCTATTATTTAATGTTCTTTATTCCCAAATCTGTGGCATTCACTAATTCCTTCGCTTCACAATAAAAGTCACAGTTTTATATTTAATTCGTATAATTATAGATTTGGAATTAATGTTTATTTTAAAAGTAAATGGATTTAATAAAAGTGAATGAACAATGAATAAATGTAAGTAAGCGCCGTCGTTGTACGTCTTTACAGTTCCGCGTCTTCGTATGAACTAACTTCAAGTATGAGTATGATGTATGAGCATACCCTAATTTTCTCATCCCACATATATATATATATATATATATATATATATATATATATATATATATATATATATATATATATATATATATATATATATATATATATATATATATAATATAAATGTTCGATTTTCTTGTAATTTTGTCCATACCAATATTTTTATCTGTATTAGATGAAGTGTAAAAATGGAACACGTCACAATTTGCACAATCATAGCAGAAGTCAAAATATATTTAAATAATCGAACATTGGCTAAGGGTATACACATGTTGGCCATACCGACTGATTTAACTTGTTTTTTTTTTTTTTTAAATAAGACATGAGTCTTAACCATTCACGAAATTAGCACTATTTGAAAAAAGGTAGTTTGCGGACTCTTTAAATTGGAGCAGAAACGACGTTCTGTTTGATTTTCATTGATATAAACATGGAGAACTATTTAAAAGTTTTCATTGTCCCCAAATCCCTGGTGTAATAAAATTGTCTCCACACTTTTTGTCCCCGACTTTTTGGTTGTTACACCCCTCTAAAACAAAGAAGAAAATTTTATAAATAATTTGTTACTATTGTTTTTTTTTTGTTGTCATTATATTTATTTGTTTGGTTGACCATTAATCTGGTGACAATTCGTTCGCCCTGATGTTCACCACTAAATATTATTTAAATTCATTTTTCCTTCAATAAAATATAAATTGTCTCCCATTGGAATTGATGGAATTTCAAATAGATTTTGTTTGTTTGGTAATAAGAGCAAAAATTTCTTTTATTTGTTGCAAAGCAATAGTTTGATATAAATAGATTTTTTTACAATCTTTCAACATGCATATATAATAAAATTTTTGATTTTATTTTTCAATATTTTATTTGTTTTTTTATTGTTAAATAGTTTATGGTTGGTTGGGCTTTGGCAGCATTTTAAAGAAAATAAAAACATGATTTTTTTTTAAATTTTTCCGTTTCTTTTTATTGTTGGTGTGCTTGGATGAACGATAATTGTAAGGGGGGAAATGTACATAATTAAAATTAAGATTTATTTAATATAATTAAAATTAGTTTAATATTTTAATGGGTTTAATTACATATATAGAGAATTCATTTAAAAACTAAAAACAAAACAAAAAAATAATTAATTAATTATGGCTATGTTTGTTTTTTGCCTACAAAAAATATATATGAATGGTTGTTGCATGATTTGCTGTTGGAAAAGAGGATGGATACATGATTTTATTTGTTTTTATTGACTTAAAATTAAAATAAATTTAAATTTTTCATAAATTTTTAATTTAAATTTTTTATAAATTTTAATTTAATTTTTTTTTCTGTTTTAATTATTTAATATTTATAAAATATTCGAATTGTTTCTTTTTTTGAACATTTTAAAACATTATTGTTTGTTTTTTGTTTCAGTTTTATTATTTAAGATAAATACAGAATTCAATTCCTTTATTATTTTGTAAAAATAATTTATGTATGTTTTTTTATAATCTTAGTAAATTTCAAGCAAAATATATTGTATATGAATAGTAGAAGGTGGAAGGGGCGGGCGGGTCAATGTGGTTACACTATCCCAGGTTTGTTGTCATCATTAAAAGGAACCCAAGTGGTTCGAATATTACTGTTTTGAAAAGCGATTTGCAAAAAAAAAAACCTCCTAAAACAGAGGAATTTAATCCGATTTTTTGGGGAAAATTGATTTGAAAAAAATTGTAAATTTTAGTTTATATCTATAATTTTGATATGTATCAGAGGTATGTAAAAGAAATCAAATCGTGTTCGGAAACTCCATTCTGTGGATCTTTTGTGAATATGAAGCCTTTTGCAGATGACCTTCAAAAGAGGTTCAATATACATAGAGTACATTCTATTCTACATGCATATGAAAACCTTCTATAGGGCTTCAATAGACATGGAAGAAATTCTATAGACCTTCTATATGTAAAATATCTTTTATGGACCTTCTATAATCACATGTCCTTTTTTAGGTTTTCTGTGGGTAGAAGACCTTCTATAGGTCTAATAAAGGTAGGAGACCTTCTACAGGTCTTAAATATGCAGAAGACCGTATGAAGGTCTTAGATGGATAGAAGTCTTCTCAAAGGTCTTCTATATGAAAGAGCTTCTTAACAGGTATTCTATGGAATGAAGACCCTTCATAGGTTTTTTATAAATATTTTTATAGATATTTTTATAGATCTTCTTATATGTATTTAAAAAAAGATCTATGGATCGGAGAACTTCTATAGACAAAAGACATTATTTAAATCTTTTATGGTCCTTTTCCTTTTGTCTTCTTTAATAGGGGATCTATAGATAGAAGACCTTTAATAGGTATTTTATAAATACCTATATAAATATAACCTTCAACAGGTCTTTCATTGATATACTTGAAGGTCGTCTTCTGCAGATAAAAAACCTTCCATAGGTCTCCTACACATAGAAGGCCTTCAATAGGTCTTCTACACATAGAAGGTCTTCAATAGATAGAAGACCTTCCATAGGTATTTTATAGTTAGAAGATCTTCAATAGGTTCTTTAAATATTGGAGACCCTGTAGAGGTCTTCTATAGAAAGGAGACCTTGAAAAAATTCTTGTAAGATAGGAAAACTTCTTTACGTATTCTATAGATAAAAGATCTTTAATGGTCTATTATTAAGAGACTTTATATAGGTCTTTTACAGTAGAAAGCTTCCTATTTGGTATTTCTAGGTCCTCTGTAGATAGAAGAGTTGTTTAGGTTTCCGGGAAGAAGATTGAATATTTTTTATGAATGTTCTATATATATGGAAGATCCTCCTCCGGTCTCTTATATATGAACGTCTTGTACAAGGAGGCTTCATGAAGGTCTCTCTACAGATATGTCTCCTATCCATAGTTTTTCTTTATAGGTCTCCTATAATTAAGCAATTTAATATAGGTCTTTTACAGTCGGAATTCCTTAAAAAATCTTCATATTTAGGAGACCGGAGGAAGATCTTACATACATGGAATATCCTCCACACATAGAACATCAAGAGAGGACCTAGGAATATCTAATAGGAATATTATATATTCCTAGGACCTCTTCAGATAGAAGACCTTTTTAGGTTTCCAGGAAGTGAATAGGAATATTAGATATTCCTAGATTCTCTGTAGATAGAAGAGCTCTTTAGGTTTCGGAGAAGAAAAGATAGAATATTTTTCATGGATTTTCTATGTATGGAAGATCTTCCTTCAATCTCGTATATATGAAAGGCTTGTACGTGAAGGTTTTTTTAAGAAATTCTAAACGTCTCCTCTGAAGGCCTCCCCTCACTGCAGATATGTCTCCTATCCATAAAACCTTTTTAAATTTTCGAGGGCAATTCAAATGACACAATATCTTCTCTGTTCCTGAAGTAGAACTATAATCTGTTTTATAAAAGTTTCATGGGTCCACAATTGATAGAAAAAAACTTTCGGTCCTAAGTGGACACTGTCAATTAAACCTTTTTAGTTTTTCGAGGTCATTTCAAATGACAGAATACCTTATCTGTTCCTGAAGTAGATCTGTAATTGTTTTTATAAAAAGAAAAAGATTTCATGGTTCCACAATTGAGAGAAAAAAAACTTTGGGTCTAAAATGGACCCTATCAATAAAACCTTTTTAGTTTTTCGAGGTCAATTCGAATGACAGGAGACCTTCTCTGTTCCTGAAGCAGGTCTATAGTAGTTTTTATAAAAAAAAAACAAGATTTCATGGTTCCACAATAGAGAGAAAAAAGTGAGACTAAAGTAGATCCACGATTCGATTGAGTATGGTTTCCCGAATTTTTTTTATTTCAAATAAGAAAGAGAGCCCACAATTTCAACATCTTGCCTTTTTTTTAATGATGACAATAATTAGCCTCCACCTTCATTTTTTTATTTCTTTAAATTTTTCTCTCGTTTTTTTTATTTTTATTTGCAATGCCCTTTAGTTTTCATTTTCTTTTTTTCATTAATTAATAAAATATTGTAAATATATATTTTAGACATTTATTTGAGTTGGGTTTTGTTTTTTTTTCGGGATTTTTGAAAAATATATATAGAATATATTTAATAAAAATATAAATATTCAATTTTGTTGATATTCATATTTGTGTGTGTTTTACAATAGTGTAATATTCAATTTACAACAATAGTTTATTTTTTTCGTTTGGTAATATAAATTTTACATGATGTAGTTTTTTTTTATTAATTTTTTTCTGGATTTTTTTTTCAATAAATTTTAATCTTCTCCTTTCTTTTAAATAATTTCTTTTTTCTTTTGTATATAGATAAATATATTATATTTAGTTATTTTTTTAAATATCATTTGATTTAATCTTTTCTGGCATATGTATGTATTGTTAAGTGTATAGATATATATATTTATGTTTTTCTTTTATTGATGATTTGTAAATAGAGAGCATATGTATGTAATGTTATTTGAGTGTAAATATCATTTAGATCGGTTCCGTTTTCATTTTTCAAATGAAAACACTTGTACTATACTTTTGTTGTCAAACTAATGTTCTATGGATGTTGTCGTTTCTTTTGTCTGTGTGATAGTTTTAGGCAAAGGTGTAATTGTTGGAATATATTTGTTGAAAAAGTTAAATTGCAAAATATTAAATTAAAGATTTTGGTTTATAAAATTAAGCCTAGAATCAAGTTGGGAAAATTTGAAACGCCAGAACGCTAGAAAAAAAATTATTTTGAAATAGGTTAAAAAATTGTTTCCATTTATATCTCCAATCTAAAAACTGTTTCTTTTATCAACTAACTCTTATAAGGAAAAAGCAGTAAAGAAGGTCATTTGCATATTTAGTAGAGCTTCACATAAAAATAAAATATATAACAAATCGGATGAATAATATATGGTGCATAATAAACGGCAAAGCGGACGAAGATATATATGAAAGCTATATTCAAATCTGAGCCGATCTTGATAAAATTTAGCAAAGGTATTTCTAAGCTGCATTTGATATAATTCCCCAAATATCGTTGTTACAGAGTGCATATTGCATGACTGCGGAGGACAAAACTATCAAGTCGGATAAACAATATATATGGGAGCTAAAGCTATATCTGAACCGATTTCCACCAAATTGAACATACTTATTTCCAGACTTAATATGGACGTATATGCAAAATTCCACACTATTTGGGCTGATATTACATGTTTGGTGCATAATAAATCGGCAAATCGGACGAAGATATATATGGGAGCTATATTTAAATTTTGACCGATTATCTTCAATTTCATTAGTGTTCGTCCTTGGGTCAAACAAATGACTTGTGCAAAATTTCATCTGGATCGGGTAATAAATGCGAACTTTTCCACGAGGATTTCAAATATCGACTGTAAATTAAAAAGGGAAACCATTTTAGCTTTTTTGGACCTTAGCCTTTTTATAACAACATCTATGTTATAGAGAATCTCGACGGTATTACCAAAACAATTTTTATTCGAAATTTAAAACAAATATTTTTTAACAATTACACCCTTTCCTAAAAACTCCCTTTTTTCGTTTCAATCGTCTTCCCCTAAAACGCTCTTTTTTTGAATAGTTAATTTTTATGGATGGATGGATTTTGGTGGTCAATGTGTGGTTACTGTTCGTCGCATCAAGTTAGGATCGAAATGTCTAATAATGAGTTGCAGACCATTTTAAATTGAAATATTGCATTAATATTTGGAATTTATTTGAAAGTCCTTATTTATTTGAAAGGCCTAAATTGGCCCATTTTTCCTCTTGAGTTTGACATTGATCCTAAATCGACGTAAGGCCAGCCACAAACATTGATCTTCTAGTAATGATACATAAATAAAAATATATAAAACAATTTATTCTTCTTTTCTCGATTTTTAGAAGTAACTTTAAGCGATTACAATCAGGTATGAGGACATTTCCAACGTAAGATAATAAAAATCGTTATATATTCAGGTATGTGATGATATTGATGATTCCGTTTGTAAATCGGAATTGGATTTAATGTAGTGGTCTTTGATTATGAGCAGACCTTTCTTTTGAGGGTATGCTTATAAGAAATTATATTTTCAAAATTTCCATAAATCGATTTTAGCCCAAAATGAAACGAATTCGTCTTTTCTTTCATGAGAGGGAGACGAATTCGTGTCATTTTGACTAAAATCGACATTTTGAAAATATTGTTTTTTATAAGCATACCCTCAAAAGAAAGGTCTGTTTATAATCAAAGATCATTAAAGTGAATACCATTCCGATTTACAATCCAAATCGATTATCATCACATATCTGAAAATATAACACATTTTCTTCCTTTCCAAGCTTTTTAAGAACATTCGTGTCACTCACACTATAAGACCTTTTGAAATGTCTTTCGAAAGTGATGGCAATGTGATATAAAAGGTACAGGGTTGCCCATATTCGACGGACCCATGTTTTTTTCGGCCATTTCGATGACTCTTTGGGCCCATTCCAATCGACGAGGCGTGTCCGCAGGGAACAAATGCAAATCAATGCGAATAATCCGTTGTAAAGTGGACCGAGCCATACCCAACTGCTGAGAACGGCGTTTTTGGGATGTTCTTGGGGACCTCTCAATACTGGCTCGTACGGCAGCGATATTCTCGGCCGATCGCCTTGGTCGACTTTTATATGGCCACTCCGGATTAGAAAGAGCCTTACCAGTCGAAAATTTTTCGTATAAACGCTTAATGGTGTTCTTAGAAGGCGCACTTCTCACATTTTTTAATGTTTTAAAAGCACGTTGAGTTTTCACAATTGACTTCTTCTGTTGAATGTAAATTTTAACTATTTCAGAGCGCTCACGTGGCGTGTATTGGTTCATGGTAAAAATCTGCTTGGACTGACGCTTCAAACGCGGTATGTCATTAAGCGATGTGACATCTCTGTCAAAAGTTATGGCGTTGCCAGATGGGTCCGTCGAATATGGGCAACCCTGTATTTCTCATCCCCAATAAAAAATGTTTTTAATTTTGTAAAAACATCATTTGTTTTTTAAGAAAATTGTTAGAGTGCAAAGTATTGCAACATGGAATAATTATTGGAACATATAACATCAACTGAGGACTTTTTCAACAGACGACATGAGGAAGCCCTATTACTTAAAAAAAAAAACTTTTTGGAATACCCTTTTTTCTTTTTACTCTCCTTTTCCTAGTAGAATCTTCCAAATTCTGGAACAAATATATTCAAGATATTCGGCCCAATTACGGTTGTCATATCTATAGTCGTCGACGTTATGTGCATACCGTCATCGCCATCGCTTCGATTCAAAAAAGGTATTACGGTAAGGCATAGAAGCGACATCGACAGTTTAAAAAAAGTTGGCAACACTCCCTTGTTGTTGACAAATAAAGATGAAAAAAATTGTTTGCAGTGTTCTTTTAGATTTTTAAATTACTTCAGAATTAACAAGGACTGCTTTCAGCATGTGCTAATAGAAATTTCGCCAAGCTTTCAATTTTTTTTTTGAAATTTTTTCCAATGTAGATATTTTTACCCTGATTCCGGGAAACTATTTATATATATTTTCTTGGGGGATAGACCCGTGACCCCAGATTTTTGACCAAAAAATCACGGATCCACTTACCCAATATAGACGGTATCGCTTATAAAAATACCTATCCAACAAGTGGTCACTTGATGAGGTTTATTTAAAGCGGTTCGGAAGTTATAGTCAAATTATCGATTTTTTAGACCCGGAATTTTTATCAACAAAATTGATGCCAAATTATAGCCTCCACTCTTAGCTTTCCAAAATGCTACAATTTGGGCTTAAACCTTTTCTGGGTCCAGAGATATTCTCTTCTACGGTTACGCGAAGTAAAGTTTTCTAAATTTAACAGTTGTTGTAAGTTGTCTGCCTTCGGTTGTCATGCGACCACTTGTTGGATAGGTATTTTTTATAATCTATCAACAGGTACCTATATTGCATATATCGAGTAAGTGGATTCTGGCACCTGGACTTTCGAGTCCAGGGGCGGTCCCGGGTCCATACCAAAAAATATTGTTTCCCGAATTCAGGTAAAAATAACGATCTCTGGAAAAAAAATCGAAAAAATCAAAGTTTTTTAAAGTAAAGTTCCAATTGGCCACAGCATTGAGGTTTTTAGCGCTAGGATCTTAGTAGACCAGTGTCGGAAATAACTTCAATATTTCCAAATTGTTTTGCTGTTGTTATTTTCATTGTCAAATTTTCAAATACAAAATAGTTAAAATATCAACGTCGACTAAGAAATACAATGTCACGTCACAATTTTTTACAACGACAGATATTCTTCAAAAACGACTTCACGTCGACTTTTGTATCGCCAATGTTAATATCACCTTTTGGTGTTATCGTTTTAACTACGCATATTGATACACACACACATCGTTGTTACCACTCTCAACCAGATGTTCGCGAGTCTAATCACAAGATAGTAACTGCAAAAAATAACGAAAACCACTATCTGAATATAACCTGGCGTTTTGATTCCTAGAAATCGCCATCTTTGCCCTTCAACAAGGGTTCCGTTTCAAAGTTCAATGTTAATAGCAATCATTTATGGCTATCGACAGAAACGACAAGCCTAATACCGTAATTGTCGCCTCGACTTAATTTTACGACGACGATGACAACCATAATAGGGCCGAATAGCAATCATTCATGGCTATAGACAAAAAAAAAACGACAAACCTAATACCGTAATTGGCGCCTCGACTTAATTTTGCGACGACAACGGTAATAGGGCCGATTCCAAATATTTTCTTTTTGACAAATAACTTTTGTTAGATCTTTTCTTTTTGCTAAGCAACATCGAAATTTTGTTTTCTACAAATTATCCAAAAAGAATTGATGTTTTTACAAAATTAGCTTCGAAAATTTGTTATTGTGTTTTTTTTCATAATTTTTTTTAACACTATTTGATGCTGGATATATGTGTATGGTGTAGGTACATGGTACAAGGGATGGATAGTGTTTTAATCGAAATAATAATTATTTAAAAAATTCAAAAAAAAAAAAAAGTTAATAGTATACAGTTTTTCGGGAGAGCAGGGGGAGTTAAAGAAGACTAAACTTGTATCATTTCGAAATAAAATTGGCATGTTTTTCTAAAACAGTTCGACAAGCCCCTCACAATATTTTGGATTTTGGCTTTACTTCGACTTTAAACCACATTTAAATTAAAAAAAAATATATTTTTTTAATCTGCAAGCTACTTGTGTTTTAATCAAATTTGCTTTGGAATCATTTTAAAGAAGCATGCCATTTTCTTATTATTTTTTATTTTTGGAGCCTTTGTATTTCATTTGTAAATATGATTTTTTTCTATAATTAAGCATAGGGGACTTGGCATACAGTTTAAATACGTTGGCATATTGAAATTTAAAACTCTTTTTTTGAGATATTTAAAAAAAAACTAACGACTTTATTTTAAAATTATTTATATGTATATTATTTGTTTGTTCTCTATGAAACGAAAATATACAAAAAAAGAAGGCATTTTTTTGCGAAGAGAGGGAAGTATTTGCTTTCATTTTGGCTTGGATTGTTTTGTATGTATATATATATATATATAAATGTCTATGTATGATGATTATGTATGTACGAATGTGTTGTCTTTCTATGTAAATACACTTTTTGCCTAGGCATGGAAGTGAGAATTTTGTTTTTTTTTTGTTTTGCTGAACTTAAATTAACACTTATTTAATATAAATATGTATGTTTATTTTGTTGGTAGCCTGATTCGAGTTTGTTTTTTTGTTTGTTTGCTTGTTTCATTTGTATATAGGTATTATATAGATATATAAAAAATTATCAAAATATATTTTTGTTAGGAAGAAGTTTTGTGAAGTTACCAAAACAAGCTTTGGGGCTGTGTGAGAGACAGAGAAAGATTATATTTTTTTTTATAATTTAAATTAATTAGAAGACAAAAAAATTGTACATTGGTAAGTCTTTTTCAAAGTTCTTGTTGTAATTTTTTGTTGTTGTTATTGTTATATGTGGTCTATATGGTAGCATCAGACAGTTTCGAGTTTTTTTTTATCTTCTCTTCTCATTTTTTTGTTTAGTGTAAATTTGGCGGAATTTTCTTTTTTCATGTTGTTTGTATAACTTATTACTAAATTCTCTTGTTTATATAATAATAATAATAGTAATTAAAGATTAATACATACACATTTGTTTTTTACATAATTCCAAAATATATGATATATATAAAGATACGTTTGATAAGTAGATTTGTTTGTTTTATAGTTACTTTTTGTTGTTGGTTTGTTTGTTTGTTTCAAATAAATGTTTCGAGTTTCTCTTGCATTTCGCTTTTCCATTCTTCTGTGTCTTGTGTGTCTGAGGAGTAATTGGAGCTAAAGGTCCGCCTGCAGACTATACATGTGTTGGTTGGTTGGTTGGTTGCTTGTTATGATCCAGTTTCACATCGAAACAAAAAATTATCATTCGAATCACATTTATTTATTTCACATTACAGATGCACAATTGTAAACCAACTTGTTGTTGTTTTTTGTTTGTTTTAATATCCACACACACAACCTTAAATAGTAGTTTGTTTTTTTTTTCTTAGATTTTTGTATATTTTTTAAACGAAAACATCAAAAAATTTGGCATATAATTTTATTCTCTTTGTTTCAATAAACTAAAAAGGAAGGGAGAAAAAATTGAAAATTTAGTATTTGAAAATTATATATATTTGTTCGAACTCACCTTTTATTTAATAAATAATACAATAATTACATTTATTGGTTCATAGGTGGCATTGGGCACATGGGACAACCGGGGGCACCTTGAAAGAAATTCAAAAGAAAAATTCTAGTAAATGGAGAAAAAAGTGGTATTAATAAACTTAGGAAAAAAAAAAATGAAAAATAAAAAAAAACTACATAAATGAAATAAAAAATTGAAAATCCATAAACAAATAAAAAAATTGAAGAAAAATGTACATAAAATAATAAATAAAAAAAATTTAAAATAAAAATAAATTACGTAAATAATATAAAAAATAGTTAAAAAAAAAATAATAAAAAATTAGGAAGAAGAAAAATATGCATAAAAATAATATTAAGAAACGAGTAGTTTTGTCGAATATTTTTACCCATTATAAGCACGCAGATATGAAGAAAACAATTCTTATCTGTAACATTGCCGAAGACACCATTTATCTAAAATGAAAGGATTCCAAGGAAAATCTCTATTTGGGTTCCATTTTGATATTTTGACTTTTAAAATCCCGATGTACGTGCCTTATATTTTAGCTACAGTTTCATAATTTTACGGACTTGTTGCCTTGTAAAGTGTTATTTTAAGAATAAAAGCGAATTTTCAAAGAAAAATTTTAAAAAAGTGAATTTTTTAGAAATTTGACTTTAAAGGACTATTTTCTAAAAATATTTCTTTTTTTTGGGACAGATCAATGTGGACTTTTAGGGAGTATATAATCAAGGATCACTTAAAGTAATTTTTTAATGAATAATTTTTCAAGAGAATGCAAAGAACTTTTTCTAGACACAAAAAAAAGTGGACTTACTGAAGTGGATTTACTATCAAAATGGATCATTGAATGTGGATATCCAAAAAAGTTGAATTTTTTAAGAAAATGTTTTCTAGGACCATTAAAAGTGACTATTTTTCTTAAAATTTTGCTCAAGGGCCAATCGAATTGAATTTTTTAAAGAATATATTTCCAGGGACAATTTTTTTGTTTTAAAAGAATGGTTTTTAAAGATTGTTTTAAAAGATTAATCAAAGTCCACTTAAAAATAATATAGGACCATAAATCTTTTTTTTTAAGTTTTTTTTTTTTTTTTCAAAAACCCATGATTGGTCTTCATTTTTACAGAATATTTTTTAAGAAACATCTGAGCAATCACCGTTGATTTTCATCAAAGACGGCGAATAATTTGTTTTTCAGGGACCAACCAACGTGTTTGTTTTCAAAAAACCGATTTTAAAGGGCAATTTTTTAAAAATATTTTTTTGGGACAGATAAATGTATACTTTAAGGAGTAAATGTTCAAGGACCAATTAATGAATTTTTAATGAATCCAAGGCTTGAAGGCAAGGATATTAATGAGCGTGAACCTGTGTACAATTTAGACTCAACCAAAGTGTGGACTTTTTTTAAAATAATTTTCTAATCTTCAAGGCCGAAAGGAGTCGATTTTTAAAGTTTTTTATTTGTTTCAAGACTCCTCCAAGGCCCGAAGGTCTTGACTATATAAAGATTTTTTCTAGACTGCTCTAAGGTCTATAGATGAGGAAACCCTTTGAAAAGGCTTAGGCTTTTCCAAAATTATTTCTAGACTGCTCCAAAGACTTAGACTTTTTAAATATTTTTTCTATAGTTCTAGAAGGACCAAAGGCTTAGGCTTTTTAAAAATTTCTTCTAGACTCCTTCTATGAGATAGTAACGAGCGTGGACTTTTTTAAAGGCCCAAAGGCATGGACTTTTTAAAGATTTCTTGTAAGCTCTTCCAACGCTCGAAAGCATTGACTTTTTTTAAGATTTTTTCTTGACTCCTGTAAAACCCGAATGCTTTTTAAAGATGTTTTTTCTAGATTTAAGGCCCCAAATCGTGGACTTTTTAAAGATTTCTTGTAAGCTCTTCCAAAGCTCGAAGGCATTAACTTTTTTTTAAGATTTTTTCTTGACTCCTGTAAAACCTGAAGGCTTTTGAAAGATTTCTTTTCTAGATTTAAGGACCAAAAGCGTGGACTTTTTAAAGACTTCTTCTAGACCTCAAGAAGGCGGTGACTTTTTAAATATTTCTTATAGACTCCTCCAACGCCCGAAGCCGTTAACTTTTTAGAGATTTTTTCTAGACTCTAAGGCCCGAAGTCGAGGACTTCTGAAACATTTTTCCTAGACTCCAAGGTCCGAAGGTGTGGATTTTTAAAGATTTTTCCTAGACTCCAATGTCCGAAGGCGTGGATTTTGAAAGATTTTTCCTAGACTCCAAAGCCCAAAGGCATGGACTTTTAAAAGATTTTTGCTAGACTCCAAGGTCCGAAGACGTGGATTTTTAAAGTATTTCTTCAAGACTCCTCCAGCGGAATGCGTGGATTTTTAAAGATTTTTCCTAGACTCCAAGGTCCGAAGGCGTGGATTTTTAAAGATTTTTCCTAGACTCCAAAGTCCAAAGGTATGGACTTTTGAAAGATTTTTCCTAGACTTCAAGGCCCGAAGGCGTGGACTTTTTAAAGATATAGACTCCAAAGCCCGAAGGCATGGACTTTTTAAAGATATAGACTCCAAAGCCCAAAGGCATGGACTTTTAAAAGATTTTTGCTAGACTCCAAGGTCCGAAGACGTGGATTTTTAAAGTATTTCTTCAAGACTCCTCCAGCGGAATGCGTGGATTTTTAAAGATTTTTCCTAGACTCCAAGGTCCGAAGGCGTGGATTTTTAAAGATTTTTCCTAGACTCCAAAGTCCAAAGGCATGGACTTTTGAAAGATTTTTCCTAGACTTCAAGGCCCGAAGGCGTGGACTTTTTAAAGATATAGACTCCAAAGCCCGAAGGCATGGACTTTTAAAAGATTTTTGCTAGACTCCAAGATCCGAAGACGTGGATTTTTAAATATTTCTTCAAGACTCCTCCAGCGGCCGAAGACGGTAACTTTTTAAAGATTTTTTGTAGAATATAAGGTCCGAAGGCGCGGACTCTCTTAGACTCTTTAAGACTTTTTATTGGATTTTTTTTAAGATTTCTTGTAGCCCAATGAAACCGAGGACTTTTAAAGAATTTTTTTCAGACTACTCCATAGACCGAAGGCTTAGACTTTTTTTTAAAGATTTTTACAGACTCCTACAATGCGAGCGTGTAGTTTTTAAAGATCCAAGGCCCAAAGGCGAGGACTTTTTAAAAACTTTTTTGTAGACTTCAAAGCCCGAAGGCGTGGACTTTTTAAAGACTTTTTTATAGACTTCAAAGCCCCCAAGGAGTGGACTTTTTAAACACCTTTTTATAGACTTCAAAGGCCGAAGGCGTGGGCTTTTCAAAGATTTTTTTTTAAACTTCAAGGCCCGAAGGCGTAGTCTTTATGAGATTTTTTCTAGACTCCTCCTGACACCGAAAGCTTTGACTTTTTAAAGATTTATTTTAGGCACCATAAAGACGAGGGCTTTTTAACGATTTTTTAAAAGATTTTTACAGACTCCTACGATGAGATATATACGAGAGTATAGTTTTTAAAGATCCTAGGCCCAAAGCGTGGACTTTATAAATATTTCTGCTAGACGCAAGGACCGAAGGTACGGACTCTTTAAAGATTTGTTATTAGATGCTAAGGTCTGAAGAAGTGGATTTTTGAACGATTTTTTATAGACCTCAAAACCCGAAGGCGTGGTCTTTTTAACGATTTCTTTTTAGACTTCAAGGGCTTGAACATTTTTTGAAGATTTCTTGTAGACCCCATGAAGCCGAGGACTTTTTAAAGATTTCTTGAAGACTCCTCCATAGACCGAAGGCTTAGACTTTTTTAAAGACTTTTTCTAGACTCCTACAATGAAATATTAGCGAGAATGGAATTTTTAAAGATTTAGGCCCGAAGGCTCAAAGGCTTGGACTTTATAAAGATTTATTCTAGACCCCATGAAGCCGAAGATTTTTCAGGATTTCTTCTATTTAAAATCTTTAGCTTCTCTAGGCTCTTGATTTGCAGAAAAAGGGAGTTTTCCTGACTTCATTTTTTTCAATATAACGGGTTCCTGGATTTCTTGGGTGGATTGCAAATGTTTTGTGTCTTAGGATTACATAGAATTTTAGAAACAGATCATGAATTGTAACCCGAATTCTACAGTTAAAAAAACCTTCAGACTTTGCACCAAAAACAAACGTAGGAAGATGGATTTTAAAAAAACTCTTTCAAGGTAAGATTTAGCAAAAATTTTCTTAATTTTTTTTTTTTTTTTGTTAATGAACATTCTTTGAAATTATTGATGGATATCTATGTTAAGATTTTTACTTTTTTATAGCCTGTTCCAGAACTGCAAGAATGTGAAAGTTTTGGCTACGATAACAGATTTTCACTTTTGATATCGAAAATTGCAGAATTAATATTCATCCATATCCTTGGTCTCTGTTATGGTTGAAAATTACTTAGAAATTTTCTGAAGGTTTTTTTTTCGAGAAATGCTATACTTGATTTTTGCAGATTTACAAAAAATGAATTCGAAATAACAAAACTCTCTATTTCTTACCCTCTCTCACATAAAATTATTAGAAAAAAAGAGCGAAAACTGTACACCGACTTTTAAAATAATTTCTCAAAATTTTCCTTTCGTTTTATTTTACCTTTCGCTTTAACACACAGATACTTCGTCGTTTTTCGTTGTGTGCTCCCGAAGTTACCCAAAAAAAACTTACCATGCATATTGGAATGTCTATGATTGTGATGAAGCATTGCGGCAGCTGTGGCATATGGCGGTGGCATATTTGATTGCAGGGCCACCGGTGACAAAGGTCGACTGTTCATGTGTTGTGGCGGTGTTGGTGGCGGCGGATGTGGTGAAATGTTACCGCTGCCGCCAGCAATGCCAACGCCTAAACCACTGCCAGATGGAGGCGGGGGTGGATACATGGGCATGTTTTGTCCTCTCATTAAATATGGAGGTGGCGTTGGTGTTAATGGTGGCTGATGTTGTTGTTGCTGCTGTTGTTGCAATGGTGCATTCATGAGTTGGGGTGGTGGCGGTGTCGCTGGGTGCTGTAGGTGTTGTTGTTGTTGTTGCTGCTGTTGTTGTAGTGTATGTAATTGTGGCGATAATGCACGTGCATTGCACGGAGTATTTAGAGTTCGTGTCGCTGCCGT